GGGACGTGCGAGAGTCCACAAATAAACGTCTCTTTATTACCGTTATCGAGTTTAGTGATTTCGCCTCCTAACCCATCCCGTCTCCGACTTAAATTAAATAGAGCTACCGGTCCCGACGGTTCCGGGACACGCACTTCTTTTGTGTTCATTATTTGTTCTCGCGTTTATCGAGGTGGTGCGGCCTTTCCGTACCTGGCGCCCAACTCTCGCGGAAATCTTTGTGGCGTGTCCGGGAGCCGACGGCAATTTGACGACGAGGCGAACAGGCGACTGTTTGCCGTCGCTCGCGAGAAGTTCCGCTCGCGAGTATCGTCGCAGTATATAGTATTGACAAATTATCTATATACGATTTATTTTTTCGAAAACCATATTGTGAGGGATTGAATTTAGAATAGTATTCCAACCACCAGTTAAGCCTATTGTATACTATTTTTTCCATGATTTTAAATACACAAGAAGCCAGAGAGATTAGCCTGAACTTATTAACTTCGCTTTTTGGGATAAAGAACATAATATATTTGTTCCATTCTTTGACAAAACTTTGACTACTAAAAATTTCGTTATATATATCCAGAAGATAAGTCAGACCCGCCTCGAGTAGAGACCCTATTACAATGTAATCCGCTTTGTCTATACCCGGGCTCTATACTCTATACTAGAGTTCTTTCTTAAATTCTGGACAACAAATGTCAGTTCTTCCATGGTAAAGGCCAGATCCAAAAAGGGATCAAAATTGTAATCTTTTAGCGAAATAGTTTCCTTTTGTACCCAAGGGGGAAATAGATTCAATAACATTCTCTTAACTACATCCTCTTTAATTGGACTGTATTGATTATTAGAGTTAGTAGCGGTATATCTGTTTTTAAATCCCTTGACCGTGTTCTAAATCAATTTCGGATTAGTATCTTTCCTCATGGAGTTATAAAATTTTTTAAAGCTCTCCTTTTTTTTGTTTTGAGTCTAATTCTACAAGTAGCCTCTGCTTTTTTAAAGTTAAGGAAGTCCTCTCTAGTTTTAGTGCTTTTATATTTTAACAAAGATGCTTTTCTGATTTTTATTAATTTTTCACATTCATGATCCCACCACGGAGCTGGGGAAATAGATTTAGACTTAAAAAATTTACAATTCTTTTGTTTGTGGTTAAAATTGTTGGAAAACGTGGCAGATTCAACTGACAAGGGGAGGACCAGATGACTCACCCTGGGATTTCGACCCCAATTTTTTAAATTATTCTGGAGATGAAAAAAAAGATACGTGTCCCGGCGTTTGATTGAATAGGCCTAAGTTTTGGAGTAATAAATTTGTGAAAATTGGCCATATCCGAAGCGCACCGCGGCGCGCCATATGAGCCTTCCCGGTAACTGTACTTTCAATCAGTGCAGTTGGCTTCGTGAGTTAGGTGCTTGCTTCATAATTCGTAAGATCCAAGTTCGCTCACGGTGGTGAGCAATAATTTTTTTTTTAATGAGTGTT